CCATCATCGATATCTATCTATCTATCTATCTATCTATCTATCTATCTATCTATCTATCTATCTATCTATCTATCTATCTATCTATCTATCTATCTGTCTGTCTGTCTGTCTGTCTGTCTGTCTGTCTGTCTGTCTGTCTGTCTGTCTGTCTGTCTGTCTGTCTGTCTGTCTGTCTGTCTGTCTGTCTGTCTGTCTGTCTGTCTGTCTGTCTGTCTGTCTGTCTGTCTGTCTGTCTGTCTGTCTGTCTGTCTGTCTGTCTGTCTGTCTGTCTGTCTGTCTGTCTGTCTGTCTGTCTGTCTGTCTGTCTGTCTGTCTGTCTGTCTGTCTGTCTGTCTGTCTGTCTGTCTGTCTGTCTGTCTGTCTGTCTGTCTGTCTGTCTGTCTGTCTGTCTGTCTGTCTGTCTGTCTGTCTGTCTGTCTGTCTGTCTGTCTGTCTGTCTGTCTGTCTGTCTGTCTGTCTGTCTGTCTGTCTGTCTGTCTGTCTGTCTGTCTGTCTGTCTGTCTGTCTGTCTGTCTGTCTGTCTGTCTGTCTGTCTGTCTGTCTGTCTGTCTGTCTGTCTGTCTGTCTGTCTGTCTGTCTGTCTGTCTGTCTGTCTGTCTGTCTGTCTGTCTGTCTGTCTGTCTGTCTGTCTGTCTGTCTGTCTGTCTGTCTGTCTGTCTGGTTGGTTGGTTGGTTGGTTGGTTGATACCTACCTACCTACCTACCTACCTACCTACCTACCTACCTACCTACCTACCTACCTACCTACCTACCTACCTACCTACCTACCTACCACCCATGTGGCAGCCGGGGTCACTCTGGGCGGTTTACAACATATAAACAAACTCTGAACTAACAAGAATAAGATACAGTGTTTTCAATATGTTTAACATGTTTTGCTAAGCATGCAAAGGGTGGAACAGAACAGAGAAAGCTCAGGTATGGGGTGGGACAAATTTTGGAAGCTGGTATTTGTGTGAAGTAGAGCTATACAGAGTTGATGAGAACCATTCCTCAGACATTTTGCTCATGTTGATGTCAGTTCATTTATTTAAGCTGTACTTTAGGGTTGTGTTGGGAGTTCTGCTAGAGGAGGAGTAGGGTTACGGGCAGTTCCCAAACTGCACAAGAGTCTCCAAAATGGCTGAAAGTGCTCCTGCTCCACCCCTGTATCCAAGGGACCTCCTTGCCTCTCTCTCCAACGTTAAAGTTTAAAAGGACTCAGGAAGTCCCTTGTGATCTCTAGGCATGTGGGAGGCAATTGAACACCCCTGGGCCTTCCCACACACCCCTGAAATGGGTATTTCTTTTTTTCAAAGGGTACTGGTGGGTATGAGGGCTGGCATGGGTGGGAAATGGATGAATCCCTCACAGTTGTCACAGCTCTGCCTGTTGCTACTGTAGGGGGAAGAGAACTGAAGTGGGAAACTTTTAGTTTTCTCAAAAAGGTTGTGTGTGCATTTTCTGAAGTCATTATGAACTGGGCAAGGGCAGTCAAAATGTCTACCACAATTTTAAAAATACCTGTTGTGGGGGGAATTCAAAAGGTCTACTGTCTTTGCAACTTGCTGGGAGATACCATTAAAGTGGATAGCTTAGAAAATGAACATACATTTACAGAGTGAATATCTTATCCACTAACCCATTTTATTCAAGAGGTGCTGCATTAAATACCCCTCTAGGAAAAGGACAGTAATCGAACCAGGCATCTTAAAAATAGAAAAGTACAGTGTGCTATTCCATGCAATCTATTTTAAAATCTGGGCTAGAAGTGTTTGATTTGGATTTTTTTTAAAGTAAGAATTACATTTATTTGTTTAAAAAAACACCCCAGCTGCTTAACTGATATACAGAATCAAAGTTCTAAAACATACTTCATATTGTATTCGTCTTTTTTTACTTGGGGGAATAAGAAATTACAAGAGTAGTCCCTGGCCTGTGTAATCAGACGTAAGACCTCACTGGAGCCCTATTGTGGGATTATAGCCTGGAGGTCAGGACGGCTACAACAGTAGTGCTAACCAAGATGTGCGCGTCACATATTCTGCTCCCCTAATTTTCAACTGGCTTTTCATGTGTTGAACGTGAAGCTCTAAAGAGGTAGCTGCATGTGCAATTGACTGCATGTGTTTAGACACCACATCTACAATTAGAAGCCCTGATGCATCAGGGCACCTGAATGTGGGAGTGCCATTGGTACACGCAAACAGACCTTTTCAGACCTTCATGACGCATCCAGACAGGACTTGAGTCAATGGGACTTAACTTCCATGTAAGTGGAAGAGACTTAAAGAAACAGCCTTGGGCTGAGTGAGAAGCCATATCATGAAATGCTAAAGCTGTTCGGGCACACTGAAAGTATGAATAATACAAATCAAATACAAGGAGAGGGATTGACTCACACCCCTCCATTGTCATTCCTATAGGCAACACCCTGAATCCAGGGTACCTTCACTACCACTGGAAAGGTTCTGCTTGATTTCAGACTCTGGAAAAACACTGGATCCAGGAGTTTCTTCTTTTGTGACCCATTGCCCTCCATGACTAAATGTAATGCAGCTAGAGATAGAGGGAAAGGGTTTAGCATGCTCTCCTGCCTCATATGCATATTATCCATATTTTCACCTCCCTTGACTATGGCTAGGTTCTCCTTGAATTACAAGACCAAATTCGTCATAGTTTGAGTAAATCTCTTTTCCTTCTAAGCTTCTGAATGAAGTGTGTAAGTCTGGCACCTGTTTTCCTGGGCTTTTCTCTTCTGATGTAGTGGTGCCCTCACCTTCCGCTGGCAGTGAGAAAACTGAAACAAACAAAAGAAAGAATATCAGGAACTCAAGAAGTGCAGACAATAGTGTTGCCAGGCTATGTAACCCTCCTCTCACAGACCTCCTCCCCAGAAAGGATAAGGTCTAGGTATGAAGATTGTAAAGTACTCTGGGGGATTCCCTACAGGGCCAGCCCTATTATTGGGTAGAGTGAGACAGCCATTTCAGGTAGCAGAGTCTGGGTGTTATGGAAAGACATCAGCAAATGGCAAACTGTTAATTTATTATTATTGGGTTGGATTCAGACTAAGTTATTCTCCTTGGTTTCATTGGACCTGGCTGGTATAGCACGAAGTTCAGGTCTAACCCACTGTCTTTTCACTACCCGGGAATGAGGGAAGATGCTGACAGAATTTTCTGGTCAGGTAGATGATAGATTGGTTGGCTTGGAGCACAGTGCACAGTGACTGGGGAGGGGCAGGATTTGCTCTTCTGCCTCAGGCAGCAAATATTTTGGGCCAGTTCTGATTCCTTAGCCCCCTTAGTCAATGGGACAGTGGTTCCCATAAGACACATAATACCTAGATTCACATACAGGGTCTGTTTTCTAGTTTCTATATCATCTCTTTCTTCTTATGAGAACTGCTGATAGAAATCAGTGGAGAAGTCCAAGATTTCTAATTGGGCCTGGCTGGTATAGCACAAAGTTTAGGTCTAACCCACTATCTTTTCACTACCCGGGGAATGAGGGAAGATGCTGACAGAGTTTTCTGGTCAGGTAGATGATAGATTGGTTGGCTTGGAGCACAGTGCACAGTGACTGGGGAGGGGCAGGATTTGCTCTTCTGCCTCAGGCAGCAAATATTTTGGGCCAGTCCTGATTCCTTAGCCCCCTTAGTCAATGGGACAGTGGTTCCCATAAGACACATAATACCTAGATTTACATACAGGGTCTGTTTTCTAGTTTCTATATCATCTCTTTCTTCTTATGAGAACTGCTGATAGAAATCAGTGGAGAAGTCCAAGATTTCTAATGGAGCTCCTATAGCTTTATGGAAGCATGTCATACCCCATACCAATTACCTCCAAGACCAGATGGTAACTGTTTAGACAAGAATTCATACTCTAGCTAACTGGCATCTTATTCTGTGCAGTAATTTTCATTTTTGATTTGGCTTAATGCTTAAGCATTTAAAAGCACGACGTAGCTACACACAAGTAGATGAAACATAATTCTATGTGCATTAGGCACTTTTTAGGGTCTGGAGGAGACCTGAAGAAGTACTTTACATAGGTGGATTTTTGTTGTCATCTGAAGATTGTTTTTCATGGGATATTCTTGGCTGGGATCCCAACCTAGCTTCAGCCCTCCTTCTAACATTCAACATCAACAGCAGATTATTTTGCAGGACCGTTGTACATCTTTCTTGCTCAACCACAGCACGCCAAGTGCAACATGGAGATAAATCACTAAATCTACATCGGAACTGCTTTATTAGAACAATCTGTGTTACTCCAATTCTACACCTACATGGTTGGGAACATTCTCCACTGGAAACAATGGGATCTACTTTTGAATAGACATGTATAGGTTCAAAATGTATAAACTTCAAAACAAAGCAAACCACCAGACATTTCAAGTGAAATAATACCTGAGTTAGAAAGAGCAAAAAAAAACAACAACCCTGTTTTTACTGTGACTGTTGTTTCTAGATTGTTACATTTTGTTAAACGCAACCACTATGAAATACTGGAGTTCTATTCCAGGTGAACATGTGGTCCTCCATTTTTCGTTGCCTTGTTCATCCCATTATCCCTCACCACTGCATAGACTAGCTAGTGCTGATGGAAGGTGGTGTCCAACAATATCTGGAGTTTTTATTCCCCATCCCATGGATAACTCTCAATTCTATCCCAAGAGAAATCAAAAGAAGAAGAAAACAGATCCCTGTTGAAGTTCTTAATGAATAACAAACCTGTTTAGACTGAGGTTATGCCCCACTGCTTGTCAAGATAACGAATAGGTAAAATGGGGCCACACATGCTGGCTTTCCCTCCTTACTCAGTGCCAATCTTTACTCTTGTGCATTTGGAAAAAGTTTGATGGGGAGGCATAGAAACAGTGATGGAGGTATAGGCTCCCAGGGAAGAAATGTACTAAATGTTGTAGATATAAATGCTGGAAAGGCAGAAAACCTGAAGGTGCAGGGCCACCTCATGGGACCTCACTACCCCATACAACCCAACATTGACTGTATTTATTGTGGCAACTTCCACATAGAGTTAATGAGATGGGTTTACTCAAACATATTTGTATTCCTGCAGTCCCGATAAAGAAAAAAAAAGGAGGTACCTTGCTCACCACAATCAGCCTGGTTTTCCTCTGCAGTCTGTCCACCACTTTCTGTATCTTCACCCACATCATCCTTTTCATTCTGGAAATGGAAACACACCCAAGAAGAAGACTTAAGCAGGGGGAATTAGTCTGAGATTAATAAAGTCTAAGAGGTGGGCAAAGCTGGCTGGTAATTCATCAAAATGAGGAATGGTTCAGGAAGTTGACAACCGAAGGTGGTGGCAGAATTGCCACTACCTCCCTCCCACTCTCTGTCGCCTGAGCCATCCACTGATGCTCCTGGCCTTTGCCTCTAGCTGCCTCTGCCACTGATACTTCTTCCTTGCATTCATGGCACTTCTCAGCCCACTGTTTGCACAATAGCTTGGTCCGGGGTGGGTGGGTACTCAGGGACAAGGTGAAAGAATGGCCAAAATGGAAGAAGACAGGGCTGCCTGTTGCTGCCACCCCTTCCCCTCCTTGTCCTCATGGTGTGGCATCATGGCAGGGAGTGGGAGAATGCAGTGACATTTCTCTTCCTGTTTCAGGCAGCAGAAGGACTTGTCCCATTGCTGGTGGCGTGTGAGCTCCTGTTTCAGTGGCTTGTCACGCTCTTGGCCCATGCGATTCTAATGGCTTGCAGAATCTGGAAGCACAGGCGTCCAATGTTGAAACAATTACAGGGAACTGAGATTGGTGTCAAAGGCTTCCATCCGTGGGCACCTGCTGATGCCTACACTCTATCAGGGTGATTAATCTGGCCTCGTTTTCCGTCTTCCTTGCTGCCACTGCTTGTTCATTTCCCCCCTCTAAGGAAGTGAGAAGTGACAGGAGCACAGAGCAGAAGCTTCAATCTATGCTTTGTTTTGTCTCAGTGGTGTGGGTCCAAAGAGGTAAGTGAACGTACAGCACTGACTGCCATGAAGAGATGGGCTCCTTAGTAACAGGAGAGTTATAGTTCACATGCTTGATTCTAGGGAAGAATTTTTTTGTCCTTGTCTAGTTGCACAATGGTATACATTAGCAAAGTTTGGAATTCACTACTCAAAAATGATGAGATAGCGCCTTAGCGCCTTTCTTGTATTCACTGAGATGGAACTAATATTAATACTGTAACTGAATGAGTGATACGAACAACTGGTTCAGTTATTTTTATAGCTATTAAGGTAAAGGTTCCCCTTGACAATTTGTCCAGTCGTGTCCGACTCTAGGGGGTGGTGCTCATCCCCATTTCCAAGTCATAGAGCCAGCGTTTGTCCGTAGACAGTTTCTGTTGTCACTCCATGGCGTGCATTTGAACTGCTGATCTTTCAACCTTGCAGCCCAGAGGCTTTCTGCAGTTTAACCCACAGCGCCACTACGTCCCCTATTTATTGCTATTCGGGTAACTAAATGGTGAAGAGAGAATATTGTATAGTTAAAGTGTTGGCTCATGCTGTGTCTTGTATCTATGCCTCATTCCATTTGCTTTCTTGCCATGTCACACTATAACATGTTTAACTATTTATGAAAAATGTGAAGCATAAAACCAGCAGGGCTAAGAATAATTCAGTACTTCAAGGTGCTTTAGACCCCTGACTGTAAATGATTCCTTTTTGAAAATAACTTCCCCAGTTCTGTGCATTTGGTTCTTTCCATTAATTTGGCTAGACCAGGCTCTCCTGATATCCTCCAGATGTGTGGGACTATAACTTTCATAATTGTGGGGTGTTGGGATCTGGAGTCCAAAACACCTAGAGGACACCAGTTTCAGGCAGTGGGCTCCAAACTTCTCTGAGAACTGCCTCCCTTAGAAACTACTGTACTGCACATGGATACATCTACAGTTTTACATAAGGGTTGGCATGAACATTTCCTATTTCCCTCTCTCTCTCTCTGATCAATCCCTTTTATATTACGTCAATTAACTTGTAAGCCTGCAGCATGGATTGCTTTGATTTTTTAATCTTTGCACAGTGCCGAACATGTCTGAAGCTTTTATGGACCTATTATTTTTCATAATGAACTTGTAGAAGTGGTCTAGGCAACATACCTCCCGTCTTTCCAGAAAGCCCAGCCTGGAAAGGATGATCATCGTAATAGGAAAAGGAACTGTTTTGTACCAAACAGCCACTCATACACTCTCTTTTCAAGCTTATAACATACTGTCCATAAATTGGATTTAAAAGCATTGTTGAGAGAGCAGAATTATTAAATTTAGAGATGTGCAGATTTGCCTCTTTTTTTTCGACCACAGCTCACAGAATTCCTCAGAGAAACAAAAACCAGAAATCTGCACACTTCTGATTGAAGTGAATACAATTCCTTCCTGTTCCACCATTTGCCCCTCACCAAACGCTCTTAATGACAAGGTTTCAATAATTCTCCATTACAAGCATTTTGCGGTTTTCCCCTACAGGCACCAAAATGCTAATGCAAAATCCTTCTCTGAAATACCAACATTATACCGACATAAGCCTGTTTTGTTTTTCCTGATTTCTTCCAGACATCCATCCGATGGGCCCATTACACAATCCCAACAATTTCACATTAGTGACTTTTCTTTCAAGTGACCCCACACCCCACCCCTCCACACATATTCAACCAAATTCCTGTCAGAATTTTCCTCTGGATCTTGTAGAAAGGATGCTCAAAATCCCAGACTGGGTCTTTCATCTGGACCTGTTTAGATTATCAAAAGGGAAACTATACAGAGATGGTATAGTGGTTAAAATTCTGAACTGGGACTTGAGAGATTCAGGTTCAAATCCCTGCTAAGCTATAAACATCACTGGTGAGTATGGGCTTGCAATTCTCCCTCAGGATGATGTACCACAAAGTGTTGCTCTGAAAACAAAATGGAGAGGAAGAGGGTCCTGTATGCCTTGAGCTCACTGGAAAAATGGGATATAGATATAATTAATAAATTTAAAATAAACATTGAGAGAGAATCATACCAGGCTCTTTGTGGGGGATTCAGACGTGCTGCTGAAACTGGAGCGATTCATATAAGCCAGTGAAGTGCCATAGCGCAGAGTCTCATAAACAGGATCCACCTTTCCGCTGGGACCTGTTGATGAAGGAAAGATGGATTCACGGCTGGATCCTCCAACATGGAGTTGCAACACAGGAAATGGCTTTATACCAGCTTAGCCCAGTCCACTGTGATTCACTCTGTCCAGCAGCATCTCCCTATGCATTTTCGGGCAGGCAAAGATCTGCTTGCCTTACTCTGCTACTTGATCCAGAGCTTGAGAGTGATTCATTAAACATTTATTCCCTACCCTTAATTTGTAATTTCTTTTGAAACAATGACTTTAAAAGTTATTATTTTAATCAGTGCAACAGCAGTTAATGTTAACAGGATGAATAACACTTAACATTCCATGATGCAGCTATTATGTTTGAGAAATAATTTCTGAAACATTTGCACCATTCAAGGTCACAGTTTTTTATTCACCTGAGTTTTTTAATGTTTAAATATTAAGTTAAGCTATTGAGCTTTTAAATATTTGAAATAAAATACTGTAATTAAAAGTCACGCATTACTGACAATGAACACAATGAATTCATTTTTTTAAAATAAATTTTTAACATTAACAAGCTCTGATGTGAACCTTTTAACTGGAGACATGCAGGACATGCCGGGCATTTGTCTGCATTATTCCTAAGTACAAAATTCATCCTATTCCAGAGCTTCAAAACTGGTTATATTTCTGCCCCTGGGCAGCACAATTCCTAAAATAATATTCTGCAGAGCTCTGAGCCACTTGAAGGGGCATCAGCACAGAGGATGCGTATTCTTCCTGATACTGTTGGATTGCAGCTTTCGTCAGCTATCACCACCTTAGCCAAGGGGGAGGCAAACTGCAAACCTACAACATCTGCAGAGCCAAATATTCCCCAGTCCTGAGCTAGATCTTCTCTAGTTTTCCACAATCCCAGATGTTCAAAGGACTACATGGTTTTCAGTGGAGGAGTGGGATTATTCTGCCTCTTTTATTATACAAATATTCCACAACTGAGAGCCAACCAAATCATCTGAAGAAAGCAGCTTGGCTGACTTTAATTAATTTTTTTAAAAAAAAGCAGATTTGCAAGATAGTTCATGGAGCAAGAAAGATTTCCTGCCGTCTAGCTGTTACTCACTACCCACTCTCTAGCTACACCCCAACCCCTTTTCACAATTAGCTAGAACAGCCTGACAGTTAAATTCCTGTTCTCCCTCCTGAAAAATGCCTACAACTGTAATATTCTCAGGAGCTTTGTCTGCTGAGGTGGATCTGGGATGGCTCGTCTCTGAAAGCCCCTCTTCCAGACTCTGGAAATAAATAGTTATTCACAATGAATCTCTTTCTCCAAAAGTGAAGATATAGGTAAGTTCCATTTTGACTAACAAGGGATAGCTTCATTATTTTTACAGTGTCATAATAATTAGCAAATTCCTTTTATAAATCCAGGAATGTAGGCTAGCCAAGAAGAAAAACTACAGGATTCAAAGTGTTGCTTTGTGCTTCCACCTTGTGTGCTGTTGTGAGCCTTGTGACAAGGATAAAGTGGATGTGAGGACAGCATTTTTGGGGCCATAATTCAATATATTGTATTATTTCGACTGTTTAAAAATGTAACTAAAACTACCTATCCAGATCCTTTTGAGAAACAAGCAAAGTAATTTTTTAAAAGTTGTAACTATAAAAATGATTAACTAATTTGGGGACCTTGGAGCTATAACAGTAACTAAGTATCTTTAAAAAGTAATCTCCCAAGCTCTGGTCTTTTCTTATGGCTGAACAACTTTCCAGATTTCTACATGTCCGTTATCTTTGGCTTTCCTCTGGATTGTTCCATTCTCACCTGCAGGGGGAGACTCCTTGGTGGTCACTGCTGGCTGTGGCTGAGGTTCATGCAGTAGCATGGGAGAGCTGAGATTTCTTCGGAAGGAGGTTGCCTGCTGGGGAAGGTTAGGAGGAAGAAGGTGAACTGGTTTCCAGTATGAGAACATGAATCGATTTCATGCATGTTATGCTGAGCCCACAAGCTTTTAGCACACTGACTTGTCTACTGGAAGGGCCAAGGAGATACATAAAATGCATGTTTTCCATTTTGTTTGATGGTTATCAAGAACCAATTTGTTTCTTTTCCCAATTATATTATGCATTTGACTCTTCTGCTAAAGCACCAGTTCAGTGTCATTGATCATGCTGGTTGGGAGCATCAGGGAGTTGTAGTAAGTCAATTTTCAAAGCTCTGATTTCCTCAGCCACTTACCGTCTTGCCTGGACACTGCTGATGAGAAACTTCTTCTGAACACCACAGATGCACACTAACTTTGCATGTCTTGCATCGCAGGCCTTGCTTGGAGTTTCCTATGAAGTGAAAAAACAAAAACACAAGAGAACTAGAAAGTCTTTTGCAGAAGCAGTGGATGTGCACATAGGTGCATGTGCAATTTGAGGGTGGGCAGGGGGGGGGAGAAGAACAGCCATTCCAGGGAGCTGTGAACCTACTCCAGGTGTCCAACCTGCTGGGTCTATTCTAGGGAAAAGGTTCAGCACCTTGTTCAGCTCCTGTAACATGCAGACCAAAATCCAGTGTAGATTTACAGCACCCCTGAAACTGGAGCCACTACCTGCCACTGGACCACTTATGACAGAAGAGCCTCATGGAAAGGAAGAGGCCGACGTTATGTTATATCCGCCTTCCCTATTCAGGTCCCTTCCATTGTGCCAGGTTACAGCTTCCATTGTGCCATCCATAATGGCCAGGGACAAGGGAGCTCTAGTCCAAGACCCATGAAGGGTACAGGGCTAGCAAATGCTGTGTTATACCAAGCTTTCCTAACTTAAAGCTCATGACAATGCCATATACTGCTGTAGAACGGAAGAACTAGAAAAGGCTTGGGTGAGCCCCATGGGGCAGTGGTTAAACTGCAGTACTGCAGTCAAAGCCTCTGTCCATGACTCGAATTCTACCTTGATGGATGCAGGTAGCCGGCTCAAGGTTTCCCCAGCCTTTCTTCTTTCTGATGTTGGTAAAATGAGTCCCCAGCTTGCTGGGAGGAGGCAAATTGTTGTTGGCATAATTATTCTCTAAAACTCCCTGAGAGTGCTTTAGCACTCTGGGGCAGTGTATGTAATTTGAAACAACAACAACATTAGCCAGAATTAAGTTTGAGATGGGGAAGAAAGTTGCATTCAGACTACTTACCTACAATAAGCTGGTGGCAGATTTCACACGGGTTGTGTTTCTTGAAGACGTGCTCCTGGAAGCTGTGAGTTTTCATGGGCTTGAGGGGTGCCAGAGACTTGTGAATTGCCCGGGGAGAGTGTTCATCTTCAGTGGGGGCAGGCGGTGGAGACAGAGGTGGCACAGAATCTGGGGGGCTGAGCAGCACATCCGAGGGCAATTTGAACTCACTATTGGAGCGCAGGAAGAAATTCTCAACGCTTTTGCTCCGCAGGATGGTTTTCAGGGAGAGGGAGCGCTTGAAACGTTGTAGCTGGAGGGTGACAAGGCAAAGAGAAGATTAAAATAAAGAGTACTTGTAAGCAGAGAGGCAACGTCCACGCTGCCATGAACACTGTCAACTTTTCTTTGTGAGTTACAGGATTTCTTGTGATACAACAGCAACAAGGATTTAAAGAAAAAACTATGTATAAAAGGAAAAGGGTGCAAAGTAATCCACATACATTAAAATCATCTTTAACAAGATAGGCCAGTAAGAATTTCCACTGCAGAGATAAAAAAAAACTAAGACTGAGAGGTAATTGTCCAGTGTCAAGCAGATGATTCATAGCTGGGGAGAGATACTGATCTGGCACATTTTAATCCACAATGCTTGTAGTTAACCACAACAAGATACCACCTGTTCTTCTTCTTGGTGAGAGCCACACTGCAGCTCTTCCAGATTAAAACCAACCAGGACATCAACAATGTCGCTACGATGTATATACTCAGTGTAATCATGGGCTATATTGGATAGAATTGTAGACATTGATATAATCTGATCATAAAAACCTGAAAGTGTATGCCACTGAAGCTGGCACCTACACAATACACCTTCAAGTGTAATTAAAGCAATAATACTTAAGCAATAATACTTAAGACAATAGGTTGGGTGCTGAACATTTGACTTTCTAGCGGTGCAGTATTCCCTTTTTGGGTCCAACAGGAGCACACAGGATTGCATGAGGCAGCATGACTATGCATGCCAGTTGCTGGAGAACACAAGTGAGAGGGTACTATTGCTTGTAGGCTTTCTACAGGCACCTGGTTGGCCCTCTGCCTATTCCCAAATGCTGGACTTGATACATACTTAGTCTGATTCAGCTGCACTCTTAGCTTCCTGTGATGACTCATTTGAAAAATCAAAGTGCCCAACCCAGTTGCAGGGTTTTCCAATGTGTGAATCTCAGAGAAGTAGGAGAAGAGGCCAGGCCAAAGAATGAAGGGGTGAGTAGCACTGTGGCCCATTTGTCTGCTATAAAATACAATTCTCCCACTGTAGCTTCCTATAAGGGTGATATACTCATGTATAACTTCAAGTGAGAAAAGATTATGGTGGAACAAGCAAAGAGACACATAACACACTAGCTTGGTTGACATATGTATTCTTTCTGCCTGCCTTACTGTGCTGATAACAATAATAAAAAGACAAGGAAGACACAGCCAAGAGACACCAATTAACCACACTTGGGCAGCTCATGTGCCTTGGGGAAAATGGCCAGCTGAGTTTAGCATTGGCCCATTGCTTTTGCCATAGGGAAGAGTTTTAATGTAGGTTTCCCTGGTTTTAATGTAGGTTTCTGCCATTCTCAAACAGTCCTAGGCTCCACTCACTGCCCTGGATCATTGCCTAGTTCAGCAGCTTAGCTGGTAAACTGTCTCAGCCCAGTCTGTACAGCATACGGCAAATATACCAGTGGAGTCGTCATTGTTTAGTCGTTTAGTCGTGTCCGACTCTTCGTGACCCCAGTGGAGTCTAGAGCCAGCAAAAGGGAATAAGAGGACCTAAGATTATATGAGCACTTTGTTTGTGGAAGAAAGGATGGGGGTAACTAAGGTTTATTAATTTTTTAAATTTTAGTATCAACCTCTAGTGAGAATTGATGTGGCTTTTAAAATTGATGATAGTGATGATTTTTTAATTCCATCTCTGTTAGGATTGCCAGGTCTCAAGGCACTGGCAGAAGTCTCCGCTAATTGCTGTGCTTCTTGGAGTCTCCAGAGTGGAAGTCAAGTCTCTGCATGAGCTGCACTAGAGGAATAAAAAAGATACTTTTTTGTGTGAGAAATGGCTTTAAAGCCTAGACATCCTTTCTCCTCCATTCCCTGCTGGCATCAGGGCTTGCTATCTCAGTACGAAGGTGTCTGTCTATGTTCTTGTGCAATATTAGTGCACTTAAGACAAGGAGCATGGAGAGGAGACTAGGGAAGAGGTGTTAGGTGCCTGCACTCAGGCACATTTGGAGCTGGGGAGAAATGGAGCACCAGCACCAAGCGTCACGAGCCTTCTTGGCCAAACCAGCAGCAGGGCATGGATGGAAAATAAAGCTTCTATGGGCTGGCTATGGGCATTCAGTTATAGTAGACATTGTACTAGGTGCGCTGTAAGTAAGGCCATGTGGGATGTGAGCCCTTAGTAAGAGTAGCTGCAACCACTGCACATCCTGAGTGCATTTTTCACTTTCCTACAGGGATTTTGGCAAGTCTTTGGTACCAAGTCCCAAGCTTCAAGTCACTATTAAAAACTAGCTTTTTCCCCCAGAAAAACGGGAGGGGAGGGTGAGTTCTGAGTTGCATCTGAGTCATTGAAGGAAAAAAACACCAACCTGAGTTGAGTTACCAGTGCAACTTAAGTCCAACTTGATAGTGAGTCTCATAACTCGAGTATCTATCCCTGCTTGCTTATGTACATTTCCTCCCAGCTCTGCACTGTCGTATTATCTAGATTCTGGGCCCATTTACTTAGATTCCCTTTGCACCCATTTTCACCATCAGCTGACCCAATAGCTGTTCTAGCTGCCACTCAGTCCCTTGTGATATCACAGGGACCTGCCCCATGATTTGAAATTTTGGCCCTGAAATTCTAGAGACCAAGTGCAACCCTAATTAAAGAGGTAAGATCATTATAACTTGCAAGTGGGTGGTGGAATAACAGAAATTAGAAAAGTTACTGGCATGGCTAGGGGATTCTGGGGGATGTAGTCCAAAAAAAAAAGGGTTCCCATTTATTGGGGAAAAATATCCTGTAGCCAACTCATTCCAGCACCTGACAATGAACACAAATATGGCTAACATCACACAGTTATTTATTAAATAATCACTATTAACATTAATTGTCAGGTGTGTTTGTTTTTGATAAGAGGAGACATAGTAGATATTTCTTAGGAAGAAAAGAGAAATAATTGCTTTCTTAATACTTTCAAAACTGGCTTGGGTGTCTGTAGATTTCTTCTGTCTGAAGTATTTGTTTTTCTTACCCAAACTACTTGCATGCAATGGCTTTGCCCAATGCTTTGGTGCTGATAAAGGAGAATGAAGGAGACCAGCACAGCGTACGTAGTGGTCAAAGGCTCACATCAAAACCACAAGGATGCAGGATCAAATCCCACTAAACCATGGCCTCAGGGCAGTCCCATCTCTCAGACTAACTTACATGCAAAGAGAAGACTGGCATATGCTTGTGCAGAACCATTTGGGTGAATTGGGCTGTGTGGTGGGTGAGAGGAGGTAAGTAATAAGGACACAAATTAAGTAAACAGGCTCAAGAGCAAACTGGCATCTCTTAAATTGCACAGGTCTGAGAAACAAGGGTTTGGATATGCACTGATTTTTTTAAACAAACAAACATTCAGAAATACTGTGCCCCTGGCCACCCAAGACCTCATGAGTTCAACACCCAAGGGGTCAAGGTGGTCTATTCGTCGTCTAGTCGTTTAGTCGTGCCCGACTCTTCGTGACCCCATGGACCAGAGCACGCCAGGCCCTCCTATCTTCCACTGCCTCCCGTAGTTGTGTCAATTTCATGTTGGTTGCTTCGCAGACACTGTCCAGCCATCTCATCCTCTGTCGTCCCCTTCTCCTCTTGCCTTCACACTTTCCTAACATCAAGGTCTTTTCCAGGGAATCTTCTCTTCTCATGAGATGGCCAAAGTATTGGAGCCTCAGCTTCAGGATCTCTCCTTCCAGTGAACACTCAGGGTTGATTTCCTTTAGAACTGATAGGTTTGTTCTCCTTGCAGCCCAGGGGACTCTCAAGAGCCTCCTCCAGCACCACAATTCAAAGGCATCAATTCTTCGGCGGTCAGCCTTCTTTATGGTCCAGCTCTCACTCCTGTACATCACTACAGGAAAAACCATAGCTTTGACTATTCGGACTTTTGTTGGCAAGGTGATGTCTCTGCTTTTTAAGATGCTGTCAAGGTTTGTCATCCCTTTCCTCCCAAGAAGCAAGGTGGTCTACTTGCCCCCAAACAGACGTCTCTAAATTCAGCTTCTAGATCAGGGGGTCATAAGGACTTTTAAGACTCATTACACATGGTACTGTATGGAAAGGATTGTCATCACAGTGAAAGGGAACCTCCATAGAGAGAACGGTTCTCTCTCTCTCCCCCCCCTCCTATCCTCTTTCTCTGCATCTGCTTGTATGAATCAACTATTTATGCTTTGTAGTTAAGTTGGGGGGGGCATAAGAGTTATACACAGATTTTAAACTACATAGGAGTCCAGCGCCCTAACCCCAGTGTTCATGAAGGGAGAAGTCTCTATTAGGGTTATATTAGAGTCATTAGGAACCCTTTATTGTTCAGGCTAGCAGCCTGTTATTAGTTTCAGATGATCCACTGATCAATTCTCCATCAATGACAAAACAATGACAGGAGATTATTACCTCTTGATAGTTGGAAAACCCCCTTTAGCTTTTCCAATATGCCCAGCAGAGTTTAGCAAAGGGGACCCCCTCCATCTCAAAGTGAGAGAGGGCTGAAACAGTTTGGAATAAGCTTTGAAGTTAAAAGGAAAGAGAATAAGAGATTTTGGATCTGGGATTCAGGTCCCAGTGCAGGGTTAGAAGCCACTCTGGCAGCTAATAGGGAGTGTGTTTGCTGATACTAAATAAAGCAAATATTACAAAAGCATCCTAAGACTCCAGTACACTTTCAGTCAAAGGCAGCTAAATCTCGTAGTGTCCACTTGGAGCTTCTCATTGCTTGGGGAAAGCAGGGGGAGCTTAATAGTGTTAAAACCTGGAATGGAGCAATTTACTACAAGCTGCAATTGCTGCACTTTTTAAATTCTGAAAGCTGTTTGCAATCATCATGATTTTCATCATGTCCTTTTTTTGGAAGCTGCTTACTATTATGCTCATTTTAACAGACTGGAAGCAGACAATGAGATCAAGATAGGATGGTGTATCACTGGAGGCAGATGAGGTTCAGAACAATCATGTTAGGAATATTTGGCATTTACACTTGAACAGTGCAGTGGCCCAGTGAAGAA